CATTTATTATTGATTATTGGTAGGATAAATATTATTTTTCAGAACTTTCTAAATATAGTTAAAATTAGTTAGCCAGTTAGGCAATTCCTTAACTAGCTTGTGTTATATAAGGAAAGTTGTTATGTAATTGTTTGAATTAGTGAATCATTTTGTCTTTTACAAACATACCCTCTCAAATCCTTTTCCATCTTACTCGTCTTTCTCTCATATTGACTTCTATCTCTCATATTCGAGCTTCCATCTCTCATACTCGAACATCTTTCTCTCAAATTCTTTTCCTTTTTTCATTTACATTTCCTCTCCTTACCATTGTTGATTTCTTACTCGAGGTTTTCACATGGTATTAGAGTGTCTTCATTGAAGAGGTCCTGCTATAATTCTGCTACACTTTGATTCACTCTTGCTGAAGCTTCGTGTCTCTTTTATTCGTCTTTTGATTTTCAATTCTATGATTTGGGACCTAGATTTGTGATATGGAAATTCGTGTTGAAAATTGCATAACAAATGTGGTAAATCCAATTCAATATCATGTTTCTCCTTTCTTCATGCATCTGAATGAGAAGCCTGAAGCGATTTTGGTTTTTATACCTTTGAATGGGGATAACTACCATTCTTGGTCTCGTGCAATGACTATTTCATTCAAATCGAAAAATAAACTGCAGTTTTTTTATGGCTCACTGCCTAAACCTCTATGTTTAGAGCATGGGATAGATGCAATACATTAGTAGTCTCTTGGTTGGTTCAATCAATGGAAGCATCTATGGTACAAAGTATGTCACGGATGGAGACATCACTTGAGATTTGGTAAGATCTTTGTGAAAGGTATTATTGATAGGATATTTTTCGAGTTTCTGAGTTGCTTGGTGAAATTCACACTTATAAGCAATGTATTCTTTCAATTGGATCATACTACACCCATATAAAAGGGTTATGGCAATAGCTGGATAATTTCAAGTCAATCTCTTCTTGTTCATTAGGTGTGTATGTTGTTTACATGTTTATATAATAGTCTCATCATAATATACTGATCACAAAATCAATTTCTAATCTTTGGACTTAGAAATTAACTTGAAAGTGGTAATCTTAATGCAATGATCAAATATTAACAATTAGTTTTGTCAAACAATAGTTTTTCTTTGGACTCACTATTATTCACCTGGAAAAAAAGTGAACTTTATAATTGTTACATATTTATCATCACATATATATTATTGGCTAAATAATATATTAATAACATTCGTATAATTTTAATCAAATCAATTTTTAGAATAGAAAGTTAATTTGACAACATATTGCATCAACTAACTTAATTAAAATATTACACACAAAAGGAAACAATATTGGTATGTTATAAAAAATACAATTTATAATTAAAAATTTCAAATTTAATCACTTTCATGATTAATAAATCTACTATCCCAATATAATTCAAAATCAAATATGTTCATGATGTATTAAAAGATATAGAGCATAACTTGTATATATATTTGATCAATCCATGATTCCATGATGGGTTTGCTAACATGATCCCACCCCATTTTATGAAGGATCGTGTTACCAATGTGTACCCAAAAATATGGTCAAAATTAACCTTCATTTTTTAAATCAACGTAAGTCTTTGTCAATGTTATTTTCGTAAAAACAATTAAAAATATTTCATCCTCTCATCCCAAACCCTCCAAGCCCATCTCATTCTTCATTATCTTTGCCTCCACACAAAAACACAAACTTCTACACTCCCTCGCCTAGTTTCTCCATCCTTCTACAGTACCATCCAATCTCAAACCTCTTCATCCTTCTAAAACAGAAACCTCTCCATTTCCACACAACATAACAGTTTCCTTCAAGTTGCTTTCGACCCAGTGTCGTTGTCCAGTTCCAGGCCACCCAGTGCTGTCAAGTACCAGGCTACCGTCCTTCCATTTTCGTTCCCAATCTGTGCAAGCACCACAATCCATGTTTTCTTCCATTTTCGCCTAATGCTTTCTTTTTGTCTCTCTTGTCTTATTCTTCCGCCTTAGAAACATATCCCTAACCCTCAATCTGTTTTCTTTGTGAGTTCTCAACCACACTTTCATAATATAATGACATCAGAAGAAATTGATGGTTGACCTATAGAACTTCTTAGAGATTCTGATTCAGTAAGTCGAGATGATGAAACTCAAGAGCTACAAAATGAACTAGTTGAAAACAGTAATGAGTCAAGTCATTTTAAAGGGCAAAATTTCAATTCTGATGAAATTGCTTACAATTTTTACTCTTTATTTGCAAAGAGTTGTCATTTTTTGATTAAACGAGGTCACACCTACAAACATAGCAAGAATAATGTCGAAGATATTTACATAAGACAGTATATTTGTCATCATGCTAGTATTGTTAAACAACAAAAATTTGTTGAAGAAGAAAGACAGAGGAGACGGAAAAGTTCAAGATGCAAATGTAGCGCAAAGTTGTTTATTACTAAAAGAACAATTGGCTTTGAGGAACTTTGGGTGGTCACATGTTTTAGTAATTCTCATAACCATACATTATTGGACAACAAAGATGTTCATTTTCTTCCTGCTTATCGTGACATATCTATCAATGATCAATGTCGCATATTACTACTATCAAAAGTTGGATGTTCAGTAAGTATTATATTAGACATTAACATAAACTTAGATTGCACTAAGCCATTAAGAATTGTAGTTTAAAATAGACCAACTCCCCATTTCACTACTCACAAATATAATGGTGTTGGCATATGAGTCCTTAAAAGTATTTCCTACTTATAATGTCACCAAATTGATCCTTCTACTTTCTCTCTTGCTTGTAATTTACTCATAATTGTAAGAAGCATCCATCTAATAACCTAAAGGATGCCTATATGTTCCATCAAGCTTGGTGCCATTAAGAGTTGGATGAAACAATGGATTATCAAGTAAGTCAGGGAAGTAGCTAGCTATGAACCATGTTCTTGAATACAACCTTAGATGCCTGCAAATATCATGTAGTTAGAGGTTTAGAACCCATGTAAATATCATACATAGTCTTCCATGTTACTAAACATTTATCCCTATCACTTATGGTTAACTTGTTTGGGCAGTCTTTAGAAATTTCTAGCAAAATAGTTTTCCTTAATTGCACTTAGCATTATTTCCAAGTGATCGGTCAAAGTAAGTTTATCAATAAAAAAGATAATGGTTCAAAGTTTCAAACTGAAGTTGTCAAATTGTTTACTTCCATGCACTCTCATTTGTGATTTGTTTGATTCGTCATAAAGTTGCTATCCACTAGAAAACTAATCCCATGTAACAATCAACTCATTGTCACTACCAAATATGAAATATAAGGTGGACTATTTTTATGATTTAGTTTCAATGAAAATGAGATCTTAGCTTAAAAGTTCTTATGTAGCTAAGAAATGACATATTTTTTCTGTCAAATAAATTACCCAAAACATTATGAAATGACACAAACATTTTGATTTTGTGAAGACTTCATTAGTGTAGTGTAGAATTTGGATTTCTTACAATACTATTAGTACAGTGGAGGGAAATTTACCTTGTACATTGCTAACTATTCTATTGTACTATTCCATCCAATTTAGAACATAAAAAAATGACATAATATAACAATGATTAAACTATGAAAGTCAAAACTTAAGTCACAGAACAACTTCAAATAATAAGAATTTACCTTTAAGGCTCATGTGAAAGATTATATCTTCTCATTTCGCAATATAACACAACCAAAAAAAATGAATTCCCATGATTATCAACCCCAACCCATAGTCCAAGAGGCGTATCATAACGATTAATTCGATATATAGTATCAAAGACAACCACATCTCCAAAAGTTTCATATGCTCGAATAGAATCACCAAATACCCAAATAATATCCTCCAACTTATTACTTTCATACATTGTAAAATCATATTGGAATACATCATCTTTATCTTTTAGACTTTTGCATAATTTTAGAACCTTTGAAGCCTCGTTATCTTTACCAACATTACCGTGAGATTGAAGAAATTTTCTAATGTCTTTTTCTAAAAATGGTAGATCGCCCGCCTTCATCCCCTTATCCAATTCAAGCACCCTCGTTATAATACTTACTGAGCATCCAGCTTTTGATAGCAATAATATGCGACCTTGATCATTGATAGGTATGTCACGATAAACATGAAGAAAATGAACCTCTTTGTTGTCCAATAATGTATGGTTATGAGAATTACTAAAATGTGTGATCACCCAACGTTCCTCAAAGCCAATTGTTCTTTTAGTAATAATCAACTTTGCGCTACATTTGTATCTTGTACTTTTCTGTCTCCTTTGTCTTTTTACTTCAACAACTTTTTGTTGTTTAGCAATACTAGCACGGTGACAAATATACTCTCTTTTGTAAATATCCTTGATATTATTCTTGGTATTTTTGTAGGTGTGACCTTGTCTAATCGAAAAACCACAACTCTTTGCAAATAAAGAGTAAAAATTGTAAGCAATTTCATCAGAATTGAAAATTTTCCCTTTATACAGACTTGACTCATTACTGCTGTGAACACCCAATTTTGTCCGGCCTATTTAAATATCATAAACCAAAAATATGCTAATTGAATTGCATTATGGATAATCAAGAGCTTTCATATATATGTCTTACTTTTTTAGTGGAAATATGCAATTAAACTGCATGGTGAAAAATCAAGTAATTATGCATTTCCATCTTAACTTACTTTTTTCCTTTATTTATTAACAAATATTTGTTTATAATAAAATAAAAGTAGACTTGAGTTCTGGATGATATAGATATGTATGTCTTTTGTTCAGATCCTCTCCCTTTTTGAATAAGGCAGACTAACACATAAATTTGTAGGAAAATTATAATTTTTTATTCTATGATGAAAATTTAATTTAGACTTTAGATTGAACTGACTGACTGCAGTTCCTATATTCTCATAACCAGTAGATTGCTCCAAAGTTTTATCCTTCATTTTCCCTTTCCAAATATTTAAAACATATCATGAGAAACTGCTCCAAGGTGGATAGACTCAAGTGTTATACTCCAAAAAACTAAAGACTGATTGTTCTTTAAGTAGCACAAATCAATGGGATTGATGAATAAAAGTATGGTAATAGTAGAAAACTCCACCATGATACATATACCATTACACAAATGAAATAATTGGAACAAAATTGTAACACGTCCTCCTCCAAGCCAAGAAGAATCAAGGTCCTAGAAGTTTCAAATGGTTAACGTTGCATTGGAGTTAATTCCTGAGTCATGTCTCCTGTTTTTTGAAACTGTTGGGGTGCATGTTAGGCAAAAGTTTTAAAGGCTGTTACTTTCCAAATTTATTAGTGGTAGATTTATTGCATCTCATTCCTTCATCATAGTATGGACTTCCAGCAGCTCTTCAATTTCTGCATGTCTACTCCAAAAAGGACTACCTTGTACGTCAACTTATCCTACTATTCCACATTTACAACCAGCTGCTTGAACCGTTGAAAAGTGGCATAGGAAGCTCACCCAATTCGGCCCTTTATACTCATTGCCAAGTACCTGAAATCAATAAGAAATGACATGCAACAAAAGAGTTATACTCATATTAGTCACATGATAAAGGCAAGGGAAAGAAGAGTCAATGAAAGTTACAGAAAGGGATTCCAAAAGAAGCCATAAAGCAGTGGTCATTGCCCTGCAGTTATATTTTAATAAAATATCCTCTTTAATGGCAATGTTAAAGAATAACCAGGAGAAAATAGGGGGACATATACGTTCAGCATTGCATTCTGCAACTCCAAGAGACTTTCACAAACCCACACTCAGCTATAAAAGGAAGTAAACAATGCACAAAAAGGAGGAGGGTATTACATATACACACATTAACATTTTACCAACAACTAGAGCTTCCAGAGAATTCTCCTTTTTTCTTATCCACCGAAACACCATACTACACTAACAAAAATCACAGTCCCTACACCCATACCAAAAACGAGCATCACATATACACATAAACCTGCACCAATACTCATTTTCTTATATTCCAATCCTGATCCTCTCACCTCATTAGACAAAACTTTTTGCAACCAAACATACTCATACTCACATCGTAGGCACCAGGCAGCAAACAGAGAGAATCCAGAAAGGGGAAAATCATACAAAAGCAAGTAGAACGGAAGCATAAACGTTCTAAGTCACGCATTTGGTCATCAACAGGTATAGTTCTCCTCGTCTAAACACAATAATTCCCATTGCAGTATCCGTGACATAAACTAAAGAGTCAATCAAGAAAGGGCCAATGAATGAAATTTAGATTATAAAGAACATACCATTTTCGTTTTGGATGTTAATCTATATTCCAAACCTGCATTCATAGATATATCACAAGAGTCCAGACTTTCATTTATTCAACTTCAACAAAAATATATACACTTCTAACCAACTAAGAACAGCAAATAAGAACGCCTCATGGTGGTCATAAAACGATTCTTGGTTGGTTTCTGAGTAGATTAATATTCAAACCATTTCATAATCAAGTAAGCAATTGAATCGGAGTGTTAAGGCTGATTAAAAATCCCTAAAAAGGGGAATTTCGAATCCCTCAGTAAGAGAGGGAAAAGAGAGTGCTTCATAACACTCGAACCACCACATCCAATGGTGGTTCTGGCGGACAGCCTTGGCGGATTTCTACCACCGTCGCGGTGCAAAGAATGAAGAGGAAAGAGAAGATGATGAAGGGTAAGTTTTTTTTTCGTACCTTTCATGACCTAAACCGGAGTAACAACCGAGAGTAGGAGTTGGAGCAGACGAGAAGCTCCTCATTAGCCCGCCGCCGGAACGAAAACACCGCCGCCGTCTTCGGAGGAGAAAACCCGTGAATCCTTTCTCCGTCTTCGTCTTCTCTTTTCTCTCTTCTTCTCCCTTTGCTTTCTCCCAGAACCACAAAACAAAAGAATGGAAACCCCAAATCTGACCCCTCTTTCAATCCTGTTTTGTTTGATTGGGCCCGAACCAAACCCATGTTTTTTTTTGTTGTTTTTTTTGTTTGTTTATTATGTTTTGTTAATTATGTTTTATCCCTTATTTGTAGTCTTTATTTATGTATGATATTTAGTTAACTATTTATTCAAGTAATTTTAAATGGAGTTTTATAGTAAGGTTATGACCCGTGTTGTCTCTGAATTCTCTAAAAATGAGAATGAGGTCTACGACCAGTGTCGTCTCTAAACTATTAATTCCATATCAAATATTTCAAAAATAATCATTATTTATTCAAGTAATTTTAAATGGAGTTTTATAGTAAGGTTATGACCCGTGTTGTCTCTGAATTCTCTAAAAATGAGAATGAGGTCTACGACCAGTGTCGTCTCTAAACTATTAATTCCATATCAAATATTTCAAAAATAATCATCGTTTATTCAAGTAATTTTAAATGGAGTTTATAGCAAGGTTATGACCCGTGTTGTCTCTAAATTCTCTGAAAATGGGAAGGAGGTCTACGACCAGTGTCGTCTCTAAACTATTAATTCCATATCCAATATTTTAAATAAATTTAATCAAATGGTTTAAAATGGAATTTTTTATAGTAAGGTTATGGCCCGTGTTGTCTCTAAATTCCCTGAAAGAAAATGGGAAGGAGGTCTACGACCAGTGCCGTCTCTAAACTATTAAATTCCACATCAAAAATGTTTTAGTAAAAACTTATTCTATTACTCAACCAAATCGATACCTTCAAATCAACGAAATCAACCAATTAATTTTCGAACCAGAACTACGTAGCCTTGATTTCCCTATTGCAGCTAGGGATACGTAGGAGCAAGTTGAATTCTTGTCAGGCACAACTATAAAAAATAAAAACATTTATTTACTGAATTTTAATAAATAATTTTAAGGGTATAAAAGTCCATGTTATTAGCGAGGGTACCGTTTTAATACGGGCGGACGGGGTTCTAATACCTTCCCCGATCCGTAATCGACTCCCGAGCTCAGAATCTCTAGTTAAAGACCAAATTATCCTAATTGGGCATGTTTAGAGTTTTCTACGTTTTAACCGTAAAAAACGTAGTGGCGACTCCAAAATAATTGGAAGAGGTAGAAATCGAGTTCGTCTCTCCCAAAGTCGCAGGGCCGGTCTTCCAACCGAAAATCGGGTCGCGACAACTGCTTTCAACTAGTTCATTTTGTAGCTCTCGAGTTTCATCATCTCGACTTACCGAATCAAAATCTCTAAGAAGTTCTATAGGCCAACCATTACTTTCTTCTGACGTCATTATATTATGAAAATGTTGTTGAGAACTCACAATGAAAATAGATTGAGGGTTAGGGAGATGTTTCTAAGGTGGAAGAATAGGACAATAGAGAATGAAAGCACTAGGCGAAAATGGAAGAAAACCTGGAATGGTGCTTGCACAAATTGGGAACGAAAATGGAAGGACGGTAGCGTGGTACTTGAAAGCATTGGGCAGCCTGGAACTAGACAGTGGGAATGGTCAATGGGAATGGATAGCAGCGTTGGGGCTGAACAACAACACTGGGTCGAATGCAGCATGAAGGAAATTGTTGTGTTGTGTGGAAGTGGAGAAATTTATGTTTTAGAAGGATTGAGAGGTTTGGGATTGGATGGTACCATAGAAGGATGGAGAAACTGGACAAGGGAGTGGAGAGGTTTGTGTTTTTGTCTAGAGGCAAAGATAATGAAGAATGAGATGAGTTTGGAGGGTTTGAGATGAGATGATGAGAACCTCCCCCATGGAGCCGATTTAGGGGGGAGTATGAGTAAAAAAATGAAAAACGTTCCACATGGAGCCGATTTAGGGGGAGTAAGAGTAAAAAAATAAAAATGAAAAACTCCCCCCCCCCCCCCCCCCCCCCCCCCCCATTGAGTCAATTTAGTGGGAAGTAAGAGGTAAAAAAATAGAAATGAAAAACTCCCCCATGGAGCCGATTTAGGGGGGAGTCAATATAAAAAATAAAAATGAAAAATTCCTCCCTAAAAATAAAATTAACCTCCCCCCCCCCCCTCCATCGAGCCGATTTAGGGGGAAGTGAGAGTAAAAAAAATATGAAAACTCCCCCCGAGAGCCGATTTAGGAGGGAGGTAGAGAAAAAATAGGAAAACTCCCCTCAGTAGCCGATTGAGGAAGGAGAACAAAAAAATATGTAAATCTCCTTCGTGGTAGCCGATTTATGAGTGAGAAATAATTAAAAAGGTAAAACTCCAATTGGGTTGCCGAGAGTGTAATTTTTACACCAAAATGGTAAATAATACAAAAGGTACACCAAGACTGTAATTTTACAGTCAAAGTGCACCATATATGTAAATTTGCCCACTTTTTCTCTAACTTCTCTTCACTCCTTCTCCTTATACTCTCTTTCTCTTAAACCAAAGGTAACCTAAATGTTTAAATGTTAGACTCTTTATTTTAGAGATGATTTTATTTAATTACCACTTCGACCCGAGAATTAGTCTCATGATGTAAAAAGTATTAATTAGAGGTTTGTTTATGTTCCATTGGTGGTTTAATTATTTTCATTTAAATTAATTTGATAACCAATCAAATGCAAGTTGTATTTGCATAATGTGTATGCATTTATCTTATATGTTTTTCCCAATTCTTATGTGTTTTACTTTCCATTTAACTCAATCATATTTAGCTGCATTAACATTAGGCAAACTAGAATTTTAGTGTACCGAATATGATCAAGACTAAGGTTGAAAACAATTTAGGTCATCTATTAGAGGCTTAGTACATGATCTATGATAGAAGAGAGCAAATACTTTAAATAAACAAGTTAGACTCGGTTTTTAAAAGGATATTTAACTTGTTAGAGATACAAACATCTTAAAAAGCCTACAAAACCTAACAAATTAGCCTATATAATTTTATTATATAATTATATTAACTATTTTATACAATAAATAAATAAATATATATATATATATATATATATATATATATATATATATGAATATATGAAATAAATAGAAAATATATAAATCCTATAGACAATTTGGCAATGGGAATTTATGATGTTAGACTTGTCAATTAAGGATATCTATTAATCTATTTAAAGACACATATATTAACTTATTTAAAGGTCTATTAATCTATTTAAATGTTATATATTATAACATATTTTTAAATGAGGAAGGATTCACTTACTGAGTGGAAAAACACTTACTCCACATTATGATGATTCATTTTTTTTTTTGGAAATCCAATGGTTTGAATTGGTGAATACATCTAAACCATTGGATTTTTCAAGATTGGATAACTAAGATGTTGAATAAATGTTTTTTCACTTACTCCTAAAATAAGTGGATACCTCCCTTTTTAAATAGGCTACCATGTATGCATAAGTCTGCAAAAAACTTCAACAAACAAACCAACCCTAAGCTACAACATTTTAAACCTCTTTCCCCACTTAACCGCATCAATATGGAATAGAGATTCTGTGTCTTTATTTTTGTGTATCTTTTATGTCATACATCAATTAAAAAGTGTCACTTAATCAAATAGAAAAAACATTTAAAAAAAATAATTTTTTTATATTACTTATTAGAGTGTGATTGATTTGAGATATAAATATATGAATTTTTTTGGGATATGTGATACTTGTTTATCAATATGTATGTCACACACAAAAAAAAAACCCTTTAATTTGTGGTTGAAACTTAGACACCTCATGCTATTTTCTCTCCTTTTTTGTGTGTCCCTCATCAACTCTTATACTATCTCCAACACAAACATGCATATTAATGCAACATCTTCAGTTCAAATCTAAGAGCAACTTTAGATTTTATAAAACACATAAAATGGCCATAGTTTGCATTTAGAGAATAAAGTGAAGCAAATATGGAAGAATCTCCCAAGGCTTGTTCCTCTTTTAGCCTTTCAGTTGAGCAAGCACCACCAGAATCTCCTCATGAGGCATTGTTTCTAGTCTTATCTTACCTTACTGTATATGAGTTACTACTCATATCTCAAGTTTGCACATCATTAAGAGATGCAGTGAGCAATGATGTGTTACCATGGTTGAACCTTGTTGTTGAAAGGCCTCTAAGTTATAGACTCTCAGATGAGATTCTTTTGAAAATCACTTCCAAGGCCAATGGTAGCCTCAAAACTCTGGCTTTGATCAACTGTGTGCATATTACTGACCAGGGGCTTCAAAGGGTCATAGAACAAAACCATCTCATAAGCAAGGTATCATGAGTCATGACTATGCAAACCCATACTTTAGATTTCTAGTTTTGCTTTTTTTGTATAACCAGAATATCCCTCGCCCAATGGGTAAGAAACTAATCTTTTTCCAGTGTGTGATTGTCCCTCCCAACGAGTGTTGCTCACAGAAATCGAATACTTGATATTTTGGTCTACCTAAGGATTCAGCCAGGCCTTACACCACTTCTTGGTATAGTTTTGCTTATATGATTCAATGGTTTTCTTTAAGGACAAAACTTAGATAAAGTACCATAAGTGCTAGTGGTACCATAAGTGCTAGTGTCATCCTCTAATAGGTCACTTGTACCACTAGCACTTATGGCCTTTCTTTAATTAGTCAAAGTTTGTGGTCTTATTTTTCCTTCTTACTTGAATTGGTTTGTGAGCTACTTTTTTTCTGGTGAAGTTTTACAACTTAGGATAATGTTAAGGGATATAGAATTGTTTGGTTCTCCTTGCTTGTTTTTTCAAATGGATTGTTGAAAATGGACATAGGCTGAAATACCATGTGCTAAATTTTACAAAATTGGTGTCACTTCTCAAAGAGGCTTTAATATTGTATCATGACCAAATCTTTCAAAAGTTTAAACAGATAAA